TGGCGGCTGGGATCCGCCTACCTGGTGTTCCTAGCTCGTCCTCGCTTGTCTTTCTTTTCTCCTATTCCTTCGTCCTCGCTTGTCCCGTCTCATTCCGCTCTCGCTCGCACCGGTGCCTCGGTGTCTCCTCACGTTCCGCCAGCGAGTCTCTCCCGAGGGGCACCTACCACCCCCCATTTCTCTTTTCTCCGGTTTCCGCCCCCACCTTCCTCCATGTTGTCACTCCCTCATCCTGATGCGGACTCTGGGGTTATGCCCTGCTGGTGCCTGTCCATCCTGTCCTGTGCCCTGGTCCGTCTCGTCTCTTCTTGTTTCCCTACCCTATTTCATGTTCTTGCTATGTTTATTTTTACACTGTCCCATTTCAGGTCTTTTCAGCATCCATCCTGCAGCGTGGCTTATGTCTGCTTCCCCATGCCCTGTTTCATTGTCAGTGCTACATCTTCCATCGTTGTGCTCTAAGCTATCACAACAGAACGTATCGTACTTTAGAACCACATTGATCCATTAGCGTTATTCAGATTCCATTTTTCCTTTTGCATAATATGGTGTATTTCACTGCTGCTTTGAAACCACTGCTACTCATTTTTCTTGCCCAAGATACACCGCTTTGATCTTTTCTTAGCCTTTCCTGTAGTTTAGTTTATACAGTCTCTGGGATGCCTATTTGTATTCTGAAAGAACAAATGAGCTACTTATTTGTTGCAAGTAGTTTCTAGTAGCAGGAAAGATGTGCAACTGCTGTGTCTAACCACATGTTTGCATACCAGAGATGTAGAAGCACGCTTGGCAACATGCATTCAAGGAAAGTTTGAATGTTCACTTGTCTGGCAAATGAGTAGACTCTAGTGACTGATACTTGGAAGCTGCAGTGGAAATATTCATGGCAATACTCTAGTTCATGGCAACTGAGGTGTTTTTTCAGACTTTTGTAGTACTGGTGGCAACTTTAGCCGGTAGGTATGGTGATAATGCAGCATGTTGTTTGCAAATCCAACTGGGCAAAATGCCTGTGTAAGAGTGTAGACATAGTTTACATTTGTGAATGTAACACTATGAATTAAACAGGAGTACAGTATTGTATTTTTTACATTAGCATTTCTGCCATACCTGGGGGCATAGGAAACTGCTGAAAAATTTGCCCTTGGTAAACAGTTCAGGAACTTAAATACTGTGTTTAATGCAGTTGCAGCAAAGGACGAGATGTAAGCGTGAAGAGTGTCTGAGATCACATCTACAATGTGTATTAAAGCTTATGTGAAAAGGCAGGTGAGTCTTTAGGAGGTTTTTTAATAAGATGAGTCCTCACAAACAGGTTTGAAGATAGCTTTCCAGCTGTAATGGAATGTATCCTTGTATACTGTTTTCACGTTACTTTTCTTTTCCTAGAATGCCTAAATCAAAGGAACTTGTGTCCTCAAGCTCATCTGCCAGTGATTCAGATAGTGAAGTTGACAAAAAGGTGAGCATTATACACGGTTTATTACTACTGTAACTCTTGTATTTCAGGCTGGGGTCAAGGAATTGAGTGAGCATTATGGCACAACATGCGTGTCGTTCCATGTGATTTATCTGATGCTTAAACCCTAACACCACCCTCTCTTCCACCCACCCTCCCCCATAACTACACCAAAAAAATCCATGTCCCAAGACTGGGGTTTGAGTGAATGGGATGATCTTTGCCTCGCAGTAAACTTTTTTCCTTAAGTTGCAATTTACTCTGTTCAGAGTTTTCCATGTTATACATATATATAACCACAATCTTACTGGACTTCTTGCTGCTTTGTGACAAGTGATATAAGGCTTCTGTGTAACCTGCCCCTGGTGGCAAGAATTTGGACTAATGTCGAGGGCTACCCCCACCCCCATCTTGGTATCTGAATTACTTGTCCAAAACTTGCCCTGTCCTCCATGTGCCACTTTATCTTGTTTGCATGTTCTTTTTCTCTGCTTCTTACAGATTCTTACATTTACTGTAATACCACCTGCCGGTTTCTCACTTAAAAGCTGAGCCAATCTGAATGTCTTTGAGTTGATTAATTCTGACATATCTTGACTGTTTTAAATGTACAAATTGAGCATTCCTATTTATTTTTAATAGTTATTTGATTTATAAGTCTGTATAGATGTTATATATCTATATATACCTATAATGAACAAAACCTGAAAAATACCTAGTGAATTTATTTTTGTAAGAAATGCCAGGTGGTAACGCAGACATCAGGTCTTTCAGTGTAGTTTATGAAGAGACTCAATCTGCTTTACTGAATTGATTCAAGTGTGACTTGGTTGCACTTTGCAAATTAGGCATTCTGTCAATTCTTAATGTAAGAGAAAATAATTATGTGGTTTTTTTGATAGGGAAATGTATTGCTGAAAAGACAGTCTGTTTTAGTGGCAGTAAAGTGGGGTTTTTTTGGTTGTTTAGTTTCTTTCTATTTTTTTTTCTATTATAACTTCCCATGTGTCTTGGAACTGTTTGTCTTTAAAAGATATTGTCCATGATATGGTTCTAGGATGTGGGGCTAATTTTTGGTATCCTTGTATTACTCTTTCTGGAGCATACACAGTTGCTATAAACCTTTAGTATTAACAGTGACTTTTAGTATCTGCAGGTAATCTGATTCACAGGTGATACCATATGAATGTTTTAAAAACATGTTTAATCTGTCATGCTATGAGCAGAGATTTGATGCCGATTAAAAAAAAAAATCGATGACCGAGGTGATGTCCAGATCCTCTCTTCATTATCTCATCTATTATAAAAAAATCAGAAGAGTTGTAAGCTGTCCTGCATTTTTGTTGCACTTGGTGGAAAGGAAGGTGAAATTTCCATCAGACTTTAAATTTTTTATTAAAACTACTGAACTGGCAGTATTACTGTGCATAAAGAGGAGGCTTTTTGAAATTTATTTTGATCTAATTAAATTCTCTTTAAAGCCTAAGTATTATTGCAAACATTGCTGGGAACAGAAGATTTTTATATTTTGCTAATTTGAAGATTTTTATATTTTTAAAATTCCAGTCTAAATGTATGGTACTGGATTTCACAGAAGGAAGGTGATAGTATGCATTGCAAAGTAATAGATTGAGATCTCTAACATGTACTTTTTTGATAAGTTACAGAATGAATTGTGGTTCATGCTTTGCTTTTTTTTTTTTTTACTTTTTATTCTTGCTCCAAGGCAAAGAGGAAAAAGCAAGTAGCTCCAGAAAAGCCTGTAAAGAAACAAAAGACTGGTGAAAGTTCAAAAGGCGCAGCTTCTTCTAAGCAAAGCAGTAACAGAGACGAGAATATGTTTCAGGTAAAATTGATGACTCTTAGAGCCTGGTTAAGGTAACATGTTATGTTATATTCAGTATAAATTTTATGAGGTTACTTGATTATCTTGACAACATAGCACTTGGTCTCCTGAAGCCTTGGCCAAAGTGGATTAGCATGTTAGCATGCAGATGAGATGCTCTGAAAAGGCGTTGTCAGGTTTCGGCAGAGTAAAAGAATCTGGGTTGTATCAATTGATAGAACCCTCATGTCTTTGCCCGTGGTAACTCTCTGGGTAGTCATTTTGTCCATAAATACAGGACTTACCATGAGTACACTGTAAATATTAGACCAGGACTATCTCTACATGGAAATGTTTTTTAGTAAGGGCTCTTGAAAGGAAGTTTCTTGGAAACCAAGTATGGACTCGTCATTCCTCTTTAACTAGGTCAAGGGCAGCTTGGCTTTTTGTTATAAGACAGTGTCTTGAAATACGTTTTGCATGTTCATTTGTTTTTTGATGCAGGTTTTTCTCACTAAACATCCAGAAAGATTGTAATTTTTGACATTGTTCTTGTTTTTAAGATGGGGGAATGTACATTTTTCAGTAGCACAATGTGTTTGTGAATTCAGAGTATTGCAGTTCCTGAGGTTAGCTGAGGCAGTAGCAGTGTGTGCTGAAAGCTGTGCAAGAGTATACGTAGAATATACGTTACCTGTTTTAGGGATGTGGACTTACTAAATGTCTCTTACTAGCTGGCTGGAAAGGAACTTAAATGCTTAAAGACTTTGATTTTTCAGTTTGTGAAAAGGTGTGGGAGAGGTGCCTAATAAGATGGCCCTGATGCTGAGTAAAGCAAAAGAAAGCTTTGGGCTGCAGCTGTGCAAAGTACTATGGCAAACATATGTTTTCTAGAGAGAGCTGCTTAACTGATACTGTAATTCAGGAAAGTTACTTTTAATGTATCAATTCTCACTTTCCTCTTCATGTATAGTTGTGAGGAGGGATAGCTTCAATTGAAGGCAATGCCTGGACTTCCCCACTGAAGGAAGAATATAGTATTTTTAATTCTGCTGGGTCATGCTTTGAACCATGTAGGAAAAATGAGGTAGTGTCTTCTGCACTTAATGAGGTGAACTGCAGAACTCAAAGAAGCAATGTGTAAGCTTTATGCTGTGTTAGTAATAAGTTCAGAAATTCCAACCTTGAGGAAAGCAGTTAAAAATTTAATGCTCACCTGATGCAAAGCCACCCCACACCCTTTCAAATAAAAGCAGTAGTATTTGTGTGTGCTGATGTCTTTCAATCTTTTTGAGCTAAGATAATAAAAAGTTACCAAAAACAGACAGTAGAGGACTCCTGTTAGTCTGATAAGAACCGGATTCTTCTAGTGTTGAATATAATACAGAAAAAATATTAAACTGACCTTGACCTAAAACATCAGTGTTACATAGTCTTTGCCTGCCTTTTAGTTAATCAACAGCAGAATTTTTTTTAGATTGCTTGCTCTGTTGGAGCATTTTGAGTTTTTTCATGCTACATCAGTTCATGTGCGTCAACTATGATGTAACTGTTTCAGTGTAGAAATAGCACTGTAGGTCTGAGGATACTCCAGTTCTCTCCCCTCCGCCCAGGAGAGCTTGCTGGAAGATCCAATAGTACAGTAGTATATGGTTTTGTTTGTTCTAGGTGTATTATTGATACTAGAAACTCTCATTTCTGCTTTCCCACGGCAGTAAAATGATCTCTGTTGTGCAGGGACTTTGCAGTATAACTTACAAATGTGACTTCAGTTGATGGAAGTCAGGCTGTAAAGCATTCATAGGATAGTCAGAATTTCTGTGGCCTCCATACTGTGTGTGGAAGCGGCAGCAAATGATGTGATACTTAGAGGTTTCTTCTACACCTTCAGGCTGTGTTCTTAAAGTATACATCTTCCTTTACTATAGAGCACGTTGTGACAGCTGTATTCATAAGGTTCAGCATTTTCATTAAGATTATACATTTTATTATTTTTGTTTGAGACTAATGTTGATGTAATGGTATTCTTGAAACTACTTATGAAGAATACTACAAATTTAAGTAGAAGGGAATTAATACGATATAAGAGATCAAATGTATTTTACTTATGTACATGTCTTGGCCTCTAGGTTTTAGAGGTAGCCTGGTATAATTTGAAATTTGTTAAAGATTTGGGTGCAGTTGGGGTGTGGAAATTTATCTTACTCCCATTTATGCTGTGTTACCAGAGGCCCTAAGGACAAGTGTTATTCACGTTAATGGAAGGGTTTAGTGTTGATACATTAGATTCCTGCCTGTGGCTTTAAGCCAATGTGAGCTCTGCATCATGTGCTTTGGTTAGTTTGTCAAATCCTGTCATCTACCTATTCCAGATTTGGATACGGTTTGCTAATGCTGTCAGGATTAATGTCTATCCAAAGTGGAATGACATCGCATAATCGGGCATTTCACAGAAATCGTTACTTCAGAAGTCATCTGTCTGTCTTTCGTCCTGCTTCCCCCACTCCCCACTGCCTTTTTTATTTACAGTTTTTTTGAAGTTTGGCTCCTGTTTCCTTTTTGACTTGTGTGAAATAAGTTCTTCAGTTTCCCAGCGTAATGCCTTTATCTATCATAGGCTCCTGAAAGCAGATAAATATATAAGTTTATGTTGCTCAGGAAAGGTAGTTGGTTTTAGCACATTAATTCTGAAACTTAAGTGGTCACCGATGTATTTCACAGTTGGTTTGCTGTGTTGCAGATCTCCCTGTTTACAAGACTCTTTATTGTGTTCCTTCTAGTGCTAGACATTTAGTTGTCAGCTAAGAAAGAATGATGATTTTTTGCTGTTTCTAATTCCCCAGTGTGTATACAGTTTAATCAAGACAAACTGGAAATAGGAGGCAAAAATGGTAAAGAAGGTGATTGCTGAAACTCATACAGGAAGTCAGCTGTATAGCTGTGAAAGGAACCAAGACACAGTTCAGTGCATTTTATTCTAAGAAACGGAAACCTGAAAATAATGCTTTTAATATTTTCTGGTTTATGTAATTCAATAGAATAGCGTAATCTAAGGAGCTGTAACGTTTAATAAAAAGCATATGAACTTGTCTGTGAAGGTTGAACTGCAGTAACTATGCTGTGGTAAGTCAATACAACTCTTGGAATACTACTGTGGTTATAGAAATACAAAGGTGTCTTAGATCAGTGAAATTACTCTAGGACTATCAGCTGCTGTATGAAAATAGAATTGTTCAGAAATGAATCTGTGTCAGAATTGCAGGTAACTGAACATCAAGAATCATAAATTTACTTAGTTTTATCTAGATTTTGTTGAGGCTTTTGATCTTAGATGTTAGTTGGAATTGTGCTTTAGAAGCCTATTTAAAACTAGCAGTGACAGCTGTTTTTCAGTGTTCAACTAAGCATTCACAATTTAATGTGAGCATTTTCATATGGAACTGTTTCCATTTAAGGTAAACTTATTGATTGAGAAATACGAACTTTGCATTATCATTTCTTGCCTTAATGTAGTTAAATGAAGACATGTAGTATTTTGTTTAAAATTAAAATCCTTGATCTTTTTACTATATTTGCAGCTGTAATCTTCACTATTACATCAGATTTTATTTCCTAAAACAAATCGGCACTTTGCAATGTACTAATATTCTATGATAGGCCCAAATAAAAAAGAAGTTGCTACTTGAAGCTGTTCTTAGAAGTGACCTTAAAAGTCACTGAAGCGTTAGAGGGTAAAAAACAAGAAATCTTGGTCTTGTAGGCTATTTATGATATCCTTTGCTAGCAGTGCTGATGGACTTGGGCATAATACCAAGTTTGGTCTGAAAAAACTAAGCTACCATCACATCATACCTTATTTTTGAATGTTAAACTTGTATTACAGTGGAAGTATTTAATAAATCAATCAAAAATATTATAAACTGTAATTTATTATTTTTTTTTTTCGTTTAAAGGATGCTTTGAAGTAGGAAAACAACTGCTTCAGGTTTATGGTATCTAAAGGTGTCCTAATTGTAGAGTTAATTTAGCATGATCCGCATAAGGGGAAAAATTACTTTAAGCAAACAAAGTATTCTTGTTTATATCTATTTTGTGAAATAACAGCTGCTTATGTCTGTGCATGATTTTAGTTGATTGAAGTTCAAGTTCAAGCTTTCTGGTCAGATTCATGCTAGTAAGATGTGTTTGGGCCCTCATTAAATTATATCAAGATGCAAGATACATGAACTAAGAAAGTTGAAAACTAAAGTTAATGTTTTATAAGGAAGGAATAATCTATTTTGAGATTATTTACTTTAGAATATGTACATTCTTCATAAAGTGTATCCAGAAGGTTCACACAGAATTCTAAGAATTTCTTATGTTAATTGTGTTTGACTGTGTTTTTATTATCTAATTTCTGATTCTCAAATTCACATTATACTTTGAATTTATGTGAACAAATAGATTTTTATCAAATATGTGAAGATCTTCAATAAGCCTAAATATGTAGCATAATGCATAGTTATCAGTGTGCCTGTCCCATGCAGTTCTCCCTCCCTGCCTCTCCCCCCCTCCAAAAAAAAATCACCCTTGTAATTCAGTTCAGACACTGTACGCAAAGGTTATGGAATTCCAAAGTAATTTCATGCTGTGCTACATGCGGGTGAACGTAAAGAATTCGGGTGTTTTTTTTAAGCACCGGGTAGATACAGTGAGATAGTCCTCTAACTGCCAATGAAGTACTGTGAGGACTTGGGAGCAGGCATGGGACAGTTGGTGGCTAACCTTCATTACCATCTGTATTTGCTGTGTTTGGGGAAAAAAAAAACAAACCCAGACCAATACCAGAACAAAAAGCACCTCTAGAAACTGTGGTTATCTCATGTGAATATCTAATTTGATTTCTATACATGTGGAATGGACTAAAATTTAAATATGGGAGTAGATATTCCTCTTTCTTGTTTCTTTCTTGTTTGTTTACAGCTGCTGCGAATGAAGATAGTTATAATACGGCAAAATTTTATTTCAGAAAACAGTAAATTAGTGGTTTTTGTAAGAAGTGAGCTTGTTAAGAATATAGGTATTTTTACTCTAGGAGAGCTACTTTTGCATTGAGCATTGAATGCTGAATTCGTTTTAAGTCGTTCATCCATTTATATTGTCATTACTTATTAGCCTACTGACTACTCTGGATTAAGCTTTTGATCTAGTTGTTTCTCTGGTGTCTAAAATAAGCTGCAGTGTGCAGTGTCACATGTCTGGGTCTGATACTGCTGGGAAAAGTGAATGCTGTAATACGTCAATACCTAAAAGACCCTTGTATATGTTTTGACAGATTGGCAAAATGAGGTATGTCAGTGTTCGTGACTTTAAAGGCAAAGTCCTAATTGATATTAGAGAATACTGGATGGATCAAGAAGGTGAAATGAAGCCTGGCAGAAAAGGTATTGTTCTGCTTCATGTTATTTTGTATTAAAACATTGTCTGCACTTTGCTGAAAACTTAGTGTATCAGGTTTTTATACTTTATTGCTACATGATATTTTTAGAGTAATATTTTCACTTTTTTATAATTTATATTTTGACAAATGATTAGTTTTACCTGGAGATTATAAACAAAAGCGAAGTGGGTTCATTGACCAAAGTCTCTTTTCCTGTATGGATACTCCAGGATTTATGGAAGACAACACATCATATACAAGCACATTTGCTATGGGAGTTATAAACATAGCCCTGCTTTCCCTTCCACCCCTTACTTTCATCCCACTTCCTTCCCTCTCCCCCACCCCAACTTAATCAGCTCCATTTCTTCCTTTTATTACAATTGGATTTCTTATTTCAAAATTCACTGTAAAGATTCAACTTACTTATTAAAGCAGGTATCCCTTACTTGCTCTATGTCATGCCTTCACCGAACTATTTTCAAAACTTCGCCACCTGCAAGATGATGTGGGGATAGTTACAGTAGTAGTGCTTTGCTTAATGTCATGTTACTTCTGTTAGAAAAGCCTTGTTTTAATCATTCTGCATATTGTGCCATGAGAAGAGGTAAGTGTGAAACATTCTGCCCTGAAGATCGAAGACATTTAATGTAGAATCAGTGTAAGGTGTTGTTGCATTCTTCTGGTGTGTCCAGAAGCAACTCTGAACAGACATTTGGAAAGCCTGAGAAGCATTTCTTAAATAACCACTGAGAATAGGCTTGTATGAACAGCTGTACTGGTACTGTACAGGAACATTTCTTGGTCTGGATTTTTTGCTACTTAAAGCTTACTTTAACTTCTAAGGACTATAACCTGCTCTGTTTTGAGGTGGAAGTATATGTAGTTTGAGTGGCAAGCTACAATGGGATTTGATGCGTAGACCAAGTGACAAAAACTACGCTATGTAGCAAAATGTGGCAATGTGGCAATTGAATCAATTTTCAATGTAGCAATTGAATTTGAATCAATTGAATTGAATTGATTCAATTGAATCAATGTGGGTCTGAATTTTATTGTGATAAAATTAATGAGAATCTAATACAGTATGTGAGTCTGATGTTGAAGTACTTACGAGCTGCTTATCTAGCTATCCTAAAAACAGTATAAGCAGTTGAAATTACGTAATCATAAACAGAAGAAAAAAAATCCAGCAGTTTAAATTATGTGTCAGATTGTTTCAAACAGCAGATCTGAACTATGTGCAGTTCATCTGGTATGTGGTTCAGGGACATCTTGATGACATTTGGTCCCCTAGTAATGGTTAGCACACTGACCTAACTGTTTTAAAAAGAAACTTGCCCTCTAAAAACTAGTGAAAAACTGGGTAGAGTAGCTCTATGCAGACTGCTTGCTGCTAAAAATTATGGTGGTGCTCTGGTAAGACAGTAATGGTAGAAGGAGGAAAAAAAAAAAGCTTATGAGCCCCAAAAATGGAATTCAAAGTTTCACCTGTGTAGGCCCTGCTCCACCTACAGAGAGAAAGTAATGAAGGAAACCTGATCACTGATGGGGGGAGGGTGAGGGTAAATAGTAGAAGAACCTGGCTGGAGAGAGTATGAGAGGTAGGCCTGTGAGTCTGTACTTGCATAGAGTTGGCATAGAGATTGTAGGGGAAGGATGAGGGGACTAAATCACAAAGGAAACATGTCTCTGCACTCGAACCTAAGAAAGCACAGATACAGAACTGAGGAGATGGGTTTTGGGGCATTGAATGAGTGTTGATTGTACGTCACTAGAATCTATGATGAAATTGAAGTGAAAAAAACAACTTCAGTGTTGTTTTGTGAGCGCTAGGGAGTGGAATAGAAAATGATACTTGCAGTATGAGTTATTTACAGTGCTTTAAGAGACGGGAGGAAGAAACCCACAGAATTATGGTACTTTAAAAGTGTATAGAAGTTCAGTACACAACGGTGTGGCTTTCAGGAGCCAAGAGGAATACAAATTATTTCCTACTTCTCACCCAGGGCTCTTGTGCCGCCTTCTGTCAAGGCGTGAGCTATATTTCTCTTCCTGTGTTTAGCCTATTACTTGTGAATAAATGTGTTACACTGTACTCATTTTCTTTGTAATTTAAACTTGTCCAGAAAAAGCTGAAGTCTAAAGTTAAGCTGAAGTGTTCCATATGAGCAGTTTCACTTTGTAACCGAGATGATTGCTGAAGGAGCTCAAGAATTAATAGTTATGCCATAGACTGTGTATGAAACCAGCCTTGATAGTAATTATGCAAGATCCTGCACCACTTTTTTGTTTTTTTTTTGTCTTAAGTGCTTATTTTTAATGCATTTCAGGTATTTCTTTAAATCCAGAACAGTGGAACCAGCTGAAGGAACAGATATCTGATATTGATGATGCAGTAAGAAAACTGTAAAGACAGAGCCATACAAGAACTTTTAGTTGTTTGAAGCGGTCTTTTTACATTGGCTTTTGTTTTCTAAAATATTGTTTTTCAAGCTATTGTATATTTGGATTGCTAAACGATTTGTAAGATGAATACTTTTTTTATGTGCATTAAAAGTGTATTCTGAGTGAGGCTATTTGTGTATACTTTACTAAAAGGAAATGTGTTGCTTTCACCTCATGGTGTAAAATAAACAAATCAAATAATATGTAAAGCTTACTTGTTTATGGCCTTTTGATTGAAGGTGATTGCTGATAAGGCCACCTAATAGTTTTAGTCTTTGTTTTAGTTTCAGTTTAGTTAGCAATTAATAATTTGTTTTCTGAGGAGATTTCTTAAAATGTCTCCATTTAATTTTTCTTTTGTCTCATACTCTTTGGCATTGCCCTGACAGCTTTCTGCTTTAAGACTTGATACAAACAGTGAATACTTGGTAAAACACATTTTTGTAGATAACTTTAAATACTGTATTTGCTAATTTACCCTATTTATTCAGATGTAAACAGTCCTGAGTATATAGACTTTTTTGCGTTCCTTGCATGAAGTGTTATGCTAAACAGTAACACTTGAACAAGAGCCACATGCTATTTCTTCCCATTTTTCTATAGCTTGCTTGACTTAGAAAATACAATTAGCCTTTTTTCTTGGACTCTAGATTTTAGAATCTGATATGTAAACTTTTACAGTAATAGACATATACGTCAGAGTAAGATAGTATTTAAAAGCTCCAGATGTGCTTATTAGTTAGGTGCCCTTTTCAAACGGCACTAAATTCATTCTTGAACACATACTAACTAGTTATTCTACAGAAAAGAACAGTTAACCTGTCTTTGTAGGGGTTTGTTTGAAAGTACTGTGTAAACAGTGATGCTTAAACTAGGGTATAACACAGGTTAAAAGTCAAACAGGATTAAAATTGCTTCAGCCAAAATGTCTGGCTATCATGCCCTGTCCACACTGCCTGCCCAAAACACTTTACTTGGCTTGTTTTGTGTAGCTTACGTGTGCACAGCTACTTTATTTTTTGTACTGAAGATTCTTAGCGCTTACAGTGGAGCGCTGGTACATAGTGGATCATGACTCTAGCGAACTTTGCTTGTCAGCTATTGTGCTGCACTGGTCAGAAGCCTCTGTCCAGTGGAAGGTCTATTACATTAGATACTGCCCCGGTTGAAGGGCTTCTTGGTAGGTGTCGCACACAATGAGATGAAGAAGGGAGAATATGATGTTTGAGTAGAACTTGAAGAGATAAGGGGCATGCCAGTATGGAAGTTAACGGTGAAAGATCCAAGTTAGCTGACATAATAACTACAGTGAAGAATTGTAGGTTAGCAGAATTGGAGAAGAGTTCGTTTTCTGACTTAATTCAATTAATCGAAGGAAAAAGATGAAACAATGTCATGAAAATTGACATTTCAAGACTATGTAGTCAATGTACTGCTGAACTGGTTCAGCTGTAATTTTCCCATTTGATGTTAAACTTTGTATTTTAAAAATTTGGTGTAGATAAATAGTAAATCCTGTTTAATTTTGGAATATCTTAATTGTTTATGTCACAAACGTGCATGGAATCACAGAATGACAGAACGTTAGGGATTGGAAGGGACCTCAAAAGATCATCCAGTCCAATCCCCCTGCCAGAGCAGGGAAGTGCCATATATATGGAAGTGCCATATATAAACTGTCCCTGTGCTGCAAAGTTTATAATTCAATACAAATAGGTGAGGAAAGGTGAAACATACATTATTTAAATGTTATGTCAGATACCTCTACCTGCTTTTTATCTTACCCATTGTTGACATACTACAAATAAAATTAAGATCTGTTTTTGTATAGCTCAGGAAATCTGAGCTGCTTGAGGGTGAATAAAAGGGTGAAGAGATACTTTGTGGTAGCAGATGCATTTTTGGGCACAACTTTTTTGAGTGATTGTTAAAGGCATGTAGGGATATTTGGACCAAACAGAATAAATACGAAACATCTGCTAAAATTTCACAGATTAATGAATGGGATAAATTGTTTCAGGTCACTATTGATAGGTTCCAGATTATTTTTATTTGCAGTATTTGTGTTTGTATAGATATAGATATGTAAAATATTATTTTTTTTTCTTTAAATCTGAATTTTTGCAACCAGATTTCATCCATTTTACCTCAAAATTTCCATGTAGCTACTTTAAAGTGCATGATTATATTAGAGGGAACGTTGTCCTCACTTGGATTACTGTGGTAGTAGATCATTGGATGGCAGTTGTGTATCAGAGTACAATATAATTGTTTTCAGGAAAGGGGAGAATTAAATTCATTAATTTGCAGGGAGTAAGTGAAAAAGTGTTAATATAGTGATTAGTTCTCTTGTGAAAACTGATGGTAGAGCTGTTCAAAGAACTTAATATTTGTTAACCAGGAGCTATTAGTTTCTATTATAGATAATCCCTTTGCTGAATATGGGATAATTACTGGAGCTGTTAATCCCACTTTACTAGATAAAAATTTAGGGCCATTTGATTTTACTTAGCGTGTGTTTTTAAAGTAGTTTTCCATCTGCTAGTTATATTTCTGCCTGTAATAATGATAAAACATCATATATTTTACCTGAGCCGGTCTTAACATCTGCATGAATGTCCTACAAAAAAGGTTACTAAATAAACCATTCAGCTTCACAAATTAACTCAAAATGAGATGAGTGAAATTGTGAGGAAATTCATTGCACCTCAGATGACTGATGTGCTTGTTACTTGATAAAAATTTGACATATTCAGTGTTATTTTGAAATAAATAGTCAGTAGTGATTTATCATGTAATTGTCTACAGCTATAGTCTTTCTCATTTGAGAAGAAAATTCAGAGGTTTTTGAATAATTTTATTGCAGACAAAATGGTAGTTAGGGTACATACAGATATGTTCATGGAAGGAAATGATGCGTGTATGAAAAGGCTGTGTAATGTGAGATAAAAACACTGCTCCCTTTCCCATTGAAGTGACAAAAGAAAGTTGTGTTTGATTTTTTGTGTTTATGCAGGGCGTATTAGCAATATGTTTTATAAATTAAACCTACTATGGAGCTTAGGAGGAAAAATACATCACAGTTAGAGCTGCCAAAGTACCGTATGTGTGATAATTCAAACTGTCGTGTATGATGTTACTCTTATGTAGAGATATTCATATTGAAATTGAACAAATGCAGTACTAAGTTTGATATTTCTGTTAAAGGAAATGCCCCAGTTACGTACGTACTTTGTGATCTGTTAGCGAAAAGAAAAAAAAAGATGGTTGTAATTCTGGTAACTCAAATGTCATATTGTTAACCATGTGGAATGTTTTATGTTTTGCTCTGGTGGTATCTACTGCAGAGAGGCCACTAGAAATATGAGCCCTCCAACTGTAATTACCTTATTGTTCAAATAAAAAAAACCAGTTAAATGGCCTATGTGTAATAACAATGTCAACACTTGAAAATAAACGAAGACTTCTCTTGACATAGTGTTATTTTTAATAGAAGTTTAGCTGCACTAATACTGTTTTTAAAAAATTGTTATGGAAACTGTTGTTTGTTTCTTGCAATTGCTGTAATTTGAAAATTTAAAAACTTAAACATTTTATACTTTCTCTGTTTGTGGGTGGGGATTGTTTGTGTGTGATAGAAGAGCAAATGTCACATAAATATGGAAGCAGCAGGTATAAACACGCTTTCAAACATTGAGTGGAAAGTGCTTGATAAGTAGCTGAAAATGGCTGATTATCTTCTTTCAGTGGAGTTTCTTTTTGGTCTGACTAAATGTAACCATCGATTAGATAGAAAATAATCTTTGCACCCATTTATTTATTATTGGTCAGTTAGGTCAGGATAGGTTTCCTTATGTATTTGTTTTCACATGCTTGCTGTGGATTAACTGATTGTAGCCCTGAACCTAACTGTTTTTCTTCAAGTAATTTTGTTTAGTTTAGCAGTTACAGCCACAGAAGCAAATGACTGTGGCTCAGAAGAAGGAAGCGGTGTTCGGGTTGATGGAGGGTCATCGTGTCCTGCCTATTATTTACTGCCATCCACTGACAGATAGGATTCATCTTTGACTGTAGCTCTGGTGGCTCTGTGTGAAAGAGCAATCTGATAGGCAATGTTTTTCCTGTTGTGAATCAAGCCTGCGTGTCCTTGGCTCTCAATGTTATGTAAAAGTGTGAAGACTCCCGCTGAAGAACTAAAATAGTTGGTCCTTGGCTTAGTGATGATTTTCCAGGTCAGTTTAAATTGGGCTGTCTTGTGAGCAGAGGGACATGTCATTAGTCATAGGTGTAACTTAAAGGCTGAGAACTTGGCGACAGCTGTTCCCTTGGTGTTGTGCTTCATTTAACAAAAATATTATAATTTTTTGTAAGAATCTGGTTAATTTGGTTTTCATTGTACTTCCTTTTTACTTTCAGTGAGTCCTTATACTCATCATTGATGGGGTGGTGAATGAGTCATTAGCTGCGGTTGGGTTGAGGAGTCCAGATTTTAAAAACGTTGTCCTTTGGAAGCAGCTGGGCTCTCAACCCTAAAGGTGAATAGAGCTTGCTGTAGCACTGTGGAAGTTGGTGGAATGAAGAGACTGTCCTTGGAAATCTCTAGGTGTATTTGATAAGGCTGAATAATAACATTTTGTTTTATGGCCATATTTGTGGCCAGCATGCTTAGTACAATGCTGTTAGTTAGCAGTTCACTTGGGCAGAAGTCAGTGAGATAAGAAACTGCTAAAGTAATGCTATGCTTTTATATAACCCTGTTACTTGTGGTGTTATCTGAAGAAGAATTGTTTCACACCTCAGAAGTTTAAATTTTTTATGTTTTCACTAGTTGGCTAATGTGTCAGAATCATTTTCAGGCTGTTGAGAATAAAGCTCCTTTCATTTTAGGAGTAGAAAGATCTAAGTTCTGTTCACTAAAATACTATCTGAAGAGATCTGAGGGAGATGCAAATGACATTCCATATTAAGAACAAATGAGATAGATGTGACCCTAACAATTAACTGTTTGAAATTGAAAGGTGGTATATAGCAATAAAAATTTGCAGTCAGTGGTGTTGATTTAATGTAATCTTCAAAGCTTTTTGCTAGCTATCTCAACTTGAAATGGCTCTGCAGAGCTCTGCTGTTTTCTCTGCTCTCCACTTGCCACCCCTTACTGAGATCTGCAGCTCCCTTTGCATATTATTTGTATTCTGAATGGAAGCATCCCTC